AATGAATGTCTGATAAAAAGGATGAGTTTGGCCCTATTTTCCTCTTCTGTCTCATGTGCCACTGCCATAGACTTGCCAGCCTCCAAAATCATAAGTCAAGTAAATCTTACTGTTTATAAACTAAAAGTAATAAAAAATAGCAAAACAATAAGCAGTAATGTTGCTAAAATCATTTTTTAAATTTTTTTTTCTCCAAATAAAAAAAATAAATAAAAAGGACTGGGAATATACCACAGTGGTAGAGCTCCCCTGGGGGGAATGGGAGGGGAGAGGAGGAGGAGGAGGTTCCATAATAAAATAGGACCTTGAAAAGGCAACTGGCTTTAGGCCTTTGGTACCTTGAAGGCTCTGGGCAAATGAAGGCAAGAGTATGGTATGGTAGGTGGGTGAAAAACCACCAGGGAAACCAAGGCTTGTGTATCCATTAGCATGAGGTTCATGCACACCAGCAAGCCCAAAGTAACAACCACAAAAAGTCATTCCATGCCACATGGAAACACAGTCTGGAGGTTCACAGTCTAGTTACATAGATAGGATCTGTTATCTTCAGAGACCCAGGCACTGTCTTCAACCCATGGCTTCCACCTTCAAGTGATGGCTGCTGCAGTTCCACCATTACATCTTTTACTTCAGGCAGCAGGGGGAGCAAAGTGGGAAGAATTTCTAACTGCATCAACTCACTTCCAAGAGCCATTGCAAAATGTCCTCCCATCTCATTATTCAGAACTTATTCATACGCCTCACTTAGGAGCAAAGGAACCTGGGAAATGTAGTCTTCGTTTGGGGTTGTACCCTTTAGAAACTGGATTCTATGACTTAGGAAAAAAGCAGGAAGGATTTTTGAGGTGGCAGCAGCAGCAGTGGTCTCTCAGTGCAGTGAGAGCCGCGGTGATTTTCTGTTTTGTACCTATGCTATTTTGTATATAAGGTATGCGATGACTTCAGGGAGCAATGTGGATTGCCTAGGTGCTCAGGGAAAAAAAAAGCAGAATTCACACAGGCAACACAACCGCAGAAACAAGAGGTACGTGAGCCCAGAGCCTTGCACTTGTTAGGAAAGAGATCTACCACCCAGCTGTGCCCTAGCCCCTATCCTGACTCTTGGAATTCTTCTATTTATGTATGCCGTCCTTCATGTATAACCCCAGATGTTCTCATTTAGCCTTTGCTCATTAAAATAAATAAAAGATAGTTGAGCATAGTGGCATATGCCTGTCATCCTAGCAGTTTGGGAAGCTGAGGCAGGAAGATTGCAAGTTCAAAGCCAGACTCAGCAACTTAGTGAGGGCCTTAACAACTCAGATAGGTCCTGTCTCTAAATAAAATATAAAAAGGGGGTGAGGATGTGGCTCAGTGAATGAGCACCCCCTGGGTTCAATCCCTGCTTAAATAAATAAATAAATAAATAAATAAATAAATAAATAAATAAATAAATAAATAAATAAATAAATAAATAAATAAAAGACTTTTGAATAGGCAATTAGCAGTCTTTGTCGTTAATTATTTGGGTGAATGTGAGTGGACCCTTTTCACCTGCGGAGATTTAGTGAGCCTGAGAGACCAGCATGGATTAATGGAAAGAGAACCACCAGCTGTCCCCACTTCCTATGTGAACTCAGCTAAGTGCCTTCACTTCTCTGTTGCTTTGTTATATATGTACAATGAGGATCTTCCAATGGTTCCACTTGTAGGACACTACCCTAGGAACTAGGGAAAACCTGAACACACAGTATGTTTTAATAAATTCTGGAAACAATCTAAATAGTTCCTATCCATTTGAGTTCAGTTGCAGGCCATGGGTGTCACTTGAGCTCAGAAACTTCATGAAGTACTTACAGGTTGGAGAGGCTAGAGGAAGGGGCTGAGGCTGGATGCCCAAGAGTGACTCTCAGCCCCAGAGGAGCAGCCAGCTTGCCACCATCAGGACTAAATGAAACATGGAACCCTGGATGGGATCCTGGGACAGAAGGACGACAATGGTGGGAAAGTGGGTGGTGTCAGCTTAGTCCTGCCCAGTTCTAACAGTCTAGAATCCCTAAGGCACTTGATGTCTCTGGAGGGGGAGGCAGATTGTGTTGGGAGAGTGTCAGCCCGGGGATGGGGGGCAGATTTAAGAGACTCCAGGTCGCCCTTCTGACTTCTCCTTGCCATCTCAATGGCCTTCCTGGCCTCTCTAATTACTAGGAACATACGGGAAACCACAGCTTCTGTTTTGGTAAAAAATGAGCTGTGTACCCACAAACCGCTGTCTCGATGAGGGCTGTTTCCAAATTGGGCCCTGATTGAGGAGAGAGAAGACCCAGGCCTGTCGGGGGAACAGCCCTGCTCAGCAGGCTCAGTCCCTTTCCCACGTGGTAAGATTCAGGGACTTGTTCTCAACAGTGTGAACTCCAGAAGCCAGCCTTGACCTCCCACACTGGGTGCTGAACGCCATTACCTATGTGATGGGTGCCATCAGGAGCCACATTCCCAGGTGGGGACAGATGGAGTAACCCACCCAGGACCCCTCCTTTCGACAAACGCGGCCTGTTGCAGTTCAGTCGGCTCTCTCCCTGCTGCTTAAGAACATGTGAGCGGGTTTAGGATCCTGGGGGCCAGGACTGCTTGGCCTCTCCCATGTTTTCTCTGCTTCTTTTATCAAAAAGACATGGGAAAAGAGGCTAGGGACCAGGTGCTTCTGTTAATCCAGAACTTTCTAAAGTGGGATATTCCTTGTGGGGTAGGACAGGGATAGAGTAGCAAGATGGGAAAGAGACTTCTCTGCCTTGAGGGACCTCCATATGGGAGGGTAGACTGATGTCAGGACAAACCAGTACCAGGCATGAGAAAAGCCAAGGATCAAGGGGGGGGGGGGCTCCACATCAGAACTTCCCCCAGGCAGAGCTGTCCGGAGCAGGGCAAGTTGCTCACAGTGCTGCTTCTCAGGGCAGTGTGTGGGCCAAGGCTTGGGGACCACCCTTCACAGGAACAGGGGACCAGTTAGATCTTCCTGTTCCTAAGATCCTGCAGTGATAATAGTGATAATAACAATAGCCACGCTGGGTGCCTTCCACCTGCAGAGGTCATCGGCTTCACTCTGAGACGGTGTTGTTGGGGTTGGGACATAGCTCAGTGGTAGAACACATTCTTGGCATCACAAGGGCTTAGTTAGCCACCCCTCCCCGTGCAAAAAAATATATATATATTGCTTTTATTTCCCACTTTACAGATGAGAAAACTGAGGCTCTGGACAGTTAAGCAATGCACCTGAGTTCGCACCACTAATAAACAGCCAGCCAGTTCTCATCCAAGATTCAGCCTGCTTCTAGGCACCTGGAGATCCATAGTTCCAGAAGGATTAGGGTGCAGGATAAGCAGGCCAGAGGCAGGGGTCTCTTGTTTCCAGAGGCTCTGATAGTTTATTCCAGGGCTTTGGTCAGTGGTCATGAGATGTGCAGGAGCAGGAAGACTTGCTCTCTCTTAGGAAGCAGATTAGGAAGCTTGTCTTTGTCCACTTAAACTCCTAAAACATGGAAATCTAAAAGTGGCCTTGATGGACACTCCCAAGAAATTATAGACTTGGGCTTTGTAAGAGACTGGCACTAATTAAAGGAGAATGCCTCGGAGAGGGTGGTGACCCAAACAAGATCTGCTGCTCACCTCCCACACAGCACAATCCTCCATGTTCCGTTTGTACTTTTTATAGTCTCCTGGCGTGGAAAGGATCTGGATCTGAAGTTTTGCAACCTTGAGTTATCAAACTTCAAAAGGCATCATTATGAGACTTTCTGTTGATACAAAAGCTTTATTTGTGGTATTAATGTTACAAAGAATTAAGCAATTGGTGATTCTGCACCCCCCCCCCAGGATTGAACCAAGGGCTTCACACATGCTTGGCAAGCACCCCACCACTGAGCCACACCTGCAGTCCTTTTTTTCAAAATTTTATTTTGAGACAGGACATTGCTAAATTGCTGACACTGGCCTCAAACTTTAGATCCTTCTGCCTCGGCCTCTCAAATCACTGGGATTACAAGTGGGCACCATCATGCGCAGCTATGATGATTTCATTTATTTCTGAGATTATCACAGTTGGTACTAGTGTAATTTCTATGATATAAATGAGAAAACTGAGAAAAAAAGAAACGGTAACTTTCCCAAGGTCACAGCAATCAAGTGGCAGGGGAGAAATTTGAATCCAGGTGTGTTGAAGTCCAGTATGTGGCTGCAGGGAAGCCCAGTACATCAACCTGTGTTGAGCTGCCTTGGCTGGTGTTTGGGTACGTTGGGTTAGAAGAATCTAGCCTCCCAAGATTCTCCCTTGTGCATTGTAGGACCCTGGGGAAACGTTGTTAACAACAGAGCAGTTTAAAAAACTGGAAGAAACTCAAAGGTCCCTCCACAGGGATGACTAACACCTTGTGGTATATTCAGACAATGCAATAGTTACCATTGAGTGATGAACAGAAAAGAACTACTGATATTCACAACAATGTAGATAAATCTCAAAATTTAACATGCTAAGCTGGGTACAGTGGTGCACACCTATGATCCTAGCTAATCAGGAGGCTGGGGGGAGAAGGATCTCAAGATTGAGGCCAGCCTCAGCAACTCAGCAAGGCCCTAAGCAATGTAGTGAGACTCTGACTCAAAATTAAAAAAAAAAAAAATAAGTGCTGGGGATGTAGCTTAGTGGTAGAACGCCCCTGAATTCAATCCCCAGTATCTAAACAATAACAACAAAGAAAATTAATTATGCTGAATGAAAATTAGCTGGACAAAAATGAGAACATACTGTGATTGCATTTACAGAAAACTTTTGAAAATATGAACTAATCAGCAGTGATAGAAAGTGGGTCCATGGGAGGGAAGGAAAAGATTCTATAAAAAACTAATCAACACCAGAAAACAAATCAATAAATGGGCAAAGGAACTGAACAGACACTTCACAGAAGAAATATGGATGATCAACAAATATATGAAAAAAATGTTCAATATCTCTAGCAATTAGAGAAATGCAAATTAAACTACACTAAGATTTTATCACTCCTATCAGAATGGCAATCATCAAGAATACAAGTAACAATAAATGTTGGTGAAGATGTGGGGGAAAGGGTATTTTCATACATTGCTGGTGAGACTGCAAATTGGTACAACCATTATGGAAAGCAGTATGGGAGATTCCTCAAAAACTAGGAATGGAACTACCATTTGACCCAGTTATCCCACTCCTTGGTATATACCCAAAGGATTTAAAATCAGCATACTATAGTGACACGGCCATATCAATGTTTATAATAGCTCAATTCATAATAGCCAAGCCATGGAACCAACCAAGGTGCCCTTCAACAGATAAATAGACAAATAAATTGTGGTATAAATATATATACACAATGAAATATTACTTATCCATAAAGAAGAATAACTTTATGATATTCATTGATAAATTAATGGATCTGGAGATTATCATGCTAAGTGAAATAAGCCAGTCCCCAAAAGCCAAAGGTTAAATGTTCTCTCTGATATATGGATGATAACCCACAATCAGATAGGGGAGAATATAAGTTCAATAGATTAGACAATAGGGAATAAAGAGAAGAGAGGAGGGGAGATAGGAAAAGGAAATGTAGTGGAATGAATCTGACATAATTTTCCTATGTACATATATGAAAACTTTACAGTGAATCCCACTATCACATACATCGGCAAGAATGGGGTCCTAACTAGAATAAGATATATTCCATGCTTGTATAATTATACCAAAATAGATTCTATCATCATGTGCAACTAAAAAGAACCAGTAAATAATAAAATAGAGCCAATCAAATATGAATTAATAGACCAGAAAAGGAATATCTAGTAGAGGAAGGAGAATGGGGGCAGAAGGAAAAAGGGGGATTGTAAGCTTAAATTGATTTCCATGCATGTATGAGTTTGTTGGGGTGAATCCAAATACTATGTATAACTATTAAGCTCTAGTAAAAAGAAAGCAGGTTGGTGGTTACTTGGGATTGGAGAAAAGTGGAGGAAGACTTGCTAGGAGACATGGGGAAAAATTTTGAGGTGAATATAGGTCATTACTCTATCTTTTTGTTGTTGTTGTTGTTGTACTAGAGATTGAACCCAGGGGGCCACTTAATCACTGAGCCACATCCCTAACCCTTTCTATTTATTTTGAGACAGGATCCTGCTAAATTGCATAAGTCCTCCTTAACTTTCTGAGGCTGGCCTTGAACTTGCCATCCTCCAGCCTCAGCTTCCCAAGCCACTGGGATTAAAGGCATGCAACACCACACTCAGTTTATTTACTCTATCTTGATTATGGTGAAGGTTTTGCAATTGTAAGCTAAGCATTATATCTTAAAATTGCATACTTTAAATATTTCCAGTGTTCCAATGAATTTACACCTCAAAAAAGCTGTTGTAAAACAAAACAAAACAAAAATCACTGAAAAGTCAAGTTTGGTGGCACATGCTTGTAATCCCAGCAATTTGGGAGGCTGACTCAGGAGGATTATAAATTGGAAGCCAGCCTCAGCAATTTATGGAGACCCTGTCTCAAAATAAAAAAGATAAAAGTGACTGGGGATGCAGCTCAGCAGTAAAACACCACTGGGTTCAATTCCCAGTATAAACAACATGAACAAAAAACTCTTGAAACCCAGCATGGTGTCACACACCTATAATCCCAGCAGCTCAGGAAGCTAAGGCAAGTGAAATACAAATTCAAAGCCAGTTTCAGCCATTTAGTGAGGCTACTTAGCAATTCAGTGAGACCCTGTCTCTAAATAAAATATTAAAAAGGGCTGAGGATGTGGCTCAGTGATTGAGCAATCTCCAGTACCAAAAATAACATCTTCCAAGTCAGGCTTGCTTGTGTCACCAAGAGGGAGCTGGGCCAGTCAGAGCTTCTCTGGGGATCACGCTGCCATGGAGAAGGGAACATTCCAGCCCCAGGGCTCTACTTCAGCACCTCTGGGGCAGAGTGGCTTCTCTTCAGTAGAGTGATACTGATATTGAACAAGGCTTTGGCCTCATGGTGGATAGGTAGGTCAACAAAGACATTCCATCAGACACAGGAACAATGGACTGGATGGTTACAGCCTCAGCTGCTGTTCTTACAATTAACAGACACCTACTGAGCACCTACCAGGTATCTGGGACTGTCCTACTCTACTGTCTTGTTTTGACCAGCTGAGGTTGGAATGAGATCCAAGGGCATGACACATCAAATAATGGCTCCAACAGAGCCATTACACATGCATCAAATCAATACCCCAGTGCCTGTTCTGTGTGTAGAGGGAGTGAATGCTTGGCCAGATCCTTGAGGACAGGAAGACACGTGGACACAAAGCTTTGCCACAACACTCAAGCTGAGGGCCAAGAGGATACATAAATGACTTCCAGTTGTGCAGAGGGTTTCCGGAGGCTGTGCTGTGTAGGAGAGGGAAAGGAATTTGTGGATGTGGGGTGGGCATTTTGGGAGGAAAGTGGGAGGTGGCAGGGAAGCTGGGGGAGATCATTCCATTTACAGGGGGCAGCACAAGTAATGCAAGACACCTGGGGAGACTGGCTGCAGGGAGGAGTGGGGAAGCCTGGAGGAGTGGGCCTGGCCAGGGCTGGAAGATGTGAGAGATCTGCAGACACATCTGTTCCCTGCCCCCCTCCCCTGCAGAATCCTGGGCTCTGCTGGGCTCTCATTGGTTCCATGGATGGCTGCTGAGCTACTGGCAGATGAAGGCACTTCCCCAACCCCTCTGAAGCCTTGAACAGCAGAACTAAGGGACACTTGGATTCCAGCTAGGCTGGCTGCTGAGTGGGGGGGGAAAAATGATCCTCTGGAAGACAGTGCAAGAGGCACCAGTGTTTCAGGCCTTGAGTGTCCCCAGTGGGCCAGCCAGCCTGAACCAGGTCTCCTGGGGAAACAAAATGCAAAAAAAAATTCCTCAAGTTTGTCCTCCCACGGCCCACAGAAACTTCTTGGTGGACGATCAAATTCAAAGAACACTGCCATCTGGTGGCCAAGAAACCTAGACACCATGAGAGCTGTGAAGTCCCTGTGCCCCCAAGGGACCACAAAGGCAGAAATGGGTCTGAGACTTGTTTAACACTTACATAACACGCCCCAAATTGTGCAAGCATATCAATTGAAGAGTGAAAATGAGGTCTTATTTCTGCCTACCAAGTTCCCTGAAGTACAGGTAGTATGTACTGTGCAATGAAGACACTGCCTCTGGGAGAGATTGGGTGACTAGTCACAGCTGGCCAATGTGAAGTTGAGTCTTATCCCAGGTCCAGCAGCACTGGGTTCCCAGTATGTGCCCACTAAATGGTTAAAGCAATGATTTTCCATGTGTGGTCTCCAAGACCCTTTCAGAAAATATACCAAGTAAAAATTTGATAGGTAAAAACCTACTATTTTTGTGAGATGCTTTTTTCTTTTACAACTTCATTTTTTCCATCGTCTCACATTTATTGACCTAGACCTCATCTAATTCTGATGACTACCAGGATGTGTGCTTTGTTTTAAAAATTCCTGTTTCAATTTCTAATATGACATTATTCATATAAACAAAAGCTCTTTGAATTTCTCAATAATTTTTATATGTAAGAAGAAAAAGTATGAAATCTGCTGGTTCAAATACTGTTATAATCCCAGCACCTTGGGAGGGTAAGGCAGGAGGATCACAAGTAATTCATCAGCAAGTGAGTAAGACCTTGTATGAAATTTAAAAAGGACTGGGGATATAGCTCAGTGGTAAAGTGTTCCCGGGTTCAATCCTCAGGGTCAAAAAGAAAGAATGAAAAAAAACCAAGAACTCTGCAAGGTAGTAACTCTGAGGCTATATGGCAATGACAGACTCCAGGTGATGAAAGAAATGCTTCTCCCATGGAAAGCCCCGCCTCTGTACCCATCAACAGTTGCTTAGCATAGTATGTTTGGCAACACAAAATGGCAATTCTTATACAATGTAAAAGTGTTCTCTTTGGGTTCCATTTTTCTTGGACTATGTACCCTGTCAGAGATTGATTGTCTAGACATTAGTAACCATTCTGTAACTTGTACTCAATTAGGGTTTCTGCTTAGATTTTAGATCTGATGACTGTTTGTTTATGGTTTTGAATTGTAGCAACAGCCGCTTATAATTAATATGGTTTTGGATTACAAAAGGTATATTCAAACTCCAGGAGGAGGTCGAAGGATGTAGACTTACAGCCTACCCCTTGGCCTGCCAACTAGTGAATCCAGACCAGCGGCCTGTGAATAAAGTTTCCATCTCCTGCTTGAAGATCAACTCAGTGATTTATTGCAATCTCACTTTAACATCTGGAATTCTGTCATTTCTGTAGATCTTGGATTAATGAAATATGCAAAACTAGTGAATAGAGAATTTTTTTTTTTTTAGTGTTTTCTAACTGGCTAAAACACATTTAATCCCCACAACCATCATTTGCTACAGATGCTATTATCACATTTTATACCTGCAGACACTGAGGTTAAATGGCCCAGTACCTCAGGGAGGTACCGAAACTTGGGCTCTGCCCCAGGCAACCTGTTTCCACAGTCTCTTCCCATTATCCCGACTCCTTAACATTTGATATCTCTTAATTGCAACTTACTTGGTCCACTAGTTTTTCAAAATATGGAATTTAAGAAAGTATTTTTAAAAAAGAAAGAAAGAAAAAGGAAAGAAAATCACTGATTTGGTACAACATCTTTTAAATTTTTTTTTCAGTTGTAGATGGACACAATACTTTTATTTCATTTACTTATTTATTTACTTTAATGTGGTGCTGAGGATCGAACCCAGTGCCTCACACATGCTAGGTAAATGCTCTACCACTGAGCTACAGCCCCAGCCCCTAGTTCCTCTACAAATGAGGAACAAATGAGGTCCAGAGAAAGGAAGTGACTTGCTAAAGATCACATGGCAAAGAATCAGAATCCACAGGGTCCCAGACTCCTAGTAGGAAGCTCTAGACACTTCATGTAAGTAAGCCTACCAACGACTGCACATGAGAAAGAACATCAAGACAATGCAAGAGACAACTTCTCCAACAAAAGCAGCATGACTTTATTGCAGGGAAGGCAGGAAGAAGCAGGGCAAGTGAGGGTCTCTGCAGGAACTCCTTCAGTGAGCAGGACTGCCAAATCCCAGGTCCATGTAGAAGCCACATCAGCGTCCTAGGAGAGCTGAAAGTTAGGTGGAACAAAGGTGCCATCTACTGTGGACATAGCAACATTGCAAAAGCAGTAAAAGTTGCACTAAGAGGTAGCATTTGGGGGTGAGGTGGGAAACTAGGCTGCAGAGCACATCTAGAATTCCCATATCCAGCCCTGCACACTGGACCCACCAAGTCCGTTATACCTGGGTTGGCCAGAACTCACTAACCTTGCTGATTCTCTTCTGGGGAACTATCAAGGCTGCTGAGATCCCCAGTTTCCTGTCCTGTTTTGGTTTATGATAGAAAGGCAATAAAACAGAAGCACAAGCAAATTATCTACCAAGAACCAGACAATCTAGGTGACTTTGTAACCAATGAACATTCTATCTCTGTGGTTACCAAATCTGGCCTCAAATCAATCACTGGAGAGACTCTTAAAACTGATGTCAAAGATAGACGTCCCTTGTGTGTATGAGGTAAAGCCTGTCTGTTCAGTGATTCTTACTGAATATTGTGCATCTGAATCTTTCTGGGGCGGGTGGCGGGGGGTAGGTTCTGGGGATTGAACTCAGGGGCACTCAACCACTGAGCCACATCCCCAGCCCTGTTTTGTATTAACAGTGTCTCATTGAGTTGCTTAGTACCTCGCTTTTGCTGAGGTTGGCTTTGAACGTCACTATCCTCCTGCCTCAACTTCCCAAGCCGCTGGGGGATTACAGTAGTGCGCCAATGCGCCTGGCTGTACATCTGAATCTTTGGAAGCTTTTCCATACTACACATGGTTACTGAGCTATATAGAGATAAAATTATGTGATGATTAGAATTCACTTTGAAATAATAGGTGGGAGCACAGATAAAACAGCGATGGCAGAGATCTGATAACTGTTGGACCTGGGTGATGGGTACTTGGGATTCACTTTTTTTAACACTATTTATAAATGTTGGAAGCCTCCTATAACAACAAGAAGCTAAAATAAATAAAAATTGAGAATTATTCGGCAAGAAAATAATGAAGTACAGATACAACTTGGATGAATCTTCAAAATATTACACCAAGTTGATAGACACCAGACCCCCAAAAGGTCACATACTGTGTAATTCCTAGGGTGTTCTTCTAGGATAATAAAAAGTTTTGAAACTAGATAGAGGAAATGGTTGTAGATTGTAAAAGGAGAAAAAAAATGCACTGAATGGCACACTTTAAAATGGTTAATTATATATCATGTCAATTTTACTTCAATAAAAAAAAGCTACTATGAGAAAAACTCACATTAATCTACACATGATTTATAAATAGCAGGCACTACTTTTTTAGTCAAAAATGCTTGCATGCCCATGCCAGGTTTTCAATCCAAGGTGTCTGTGTTGGGCTTCCCCATGTATACAGACAGCTCAGAAAGAGAAAGAGGATTCCCCCAACCTTTCCTCCATTTCTTCATGTCACAGAGCACATACAGCAAATACAATCTTACTTGGAGGCCCAATATGATTCAGGGCTTTTGGGAGACATGGAAGAGTCCTGAACACCCCTTTCATTCTCCCCACAAGCGCCTAGAGATAAAGGAACTGTGAGAACAGTGTTTCTCAGAATGGGGAAACTGCTAGTGTTTTACTCCTATATAGAAGTCCTTCATAGAGGGATTGCACAGTAACCTGCAAGGCAGAAAAGCAGGGTGGAGGCTTTAGCCCCATTTTACAGATAGTAGTACCCAATGTCAAGTATATACAAAGTTCAAAAAGTCAGCCAGGCGTGGTGGTGCATGCTTGCAATCCCAGCTACATAGGAAGCTGAGGAGGCAGGAAGATTATAAGCTCAAAGCCAGCCTCAGCAACTTAACAAGACCCTTTCTCAAAACATAAAATACAAAGGATTGAGTATGTAGCTCACTGATAAAGCACCCCTGGGTTCAATCCCTAGTACTGGGGGAAAAAAAAAAAAGTTCCCAAAGTCAGTGTTAAATATGAGGGCAGAGCTGGAATTTGAATGTCAGACTCCTGACTATTCATCCTGTACTCATTCCGGAACATGGGTTGTATGACAGAAACGACATAAGGAAAATGGATGCATCTGAAATCTCTTGACTTGCGTGTGAGGTCACTATATAAATGGAACATGCCTCAGGTTCCAAATGTTCACCTTTAGGAAGGAAGTAGACTACACTCACAGGGGGCCCTCACAAATTGCCAGTTGATAGTAGCTGGTCTCTGCCTGGGAAGCTCTCCCTGGACCTATTTGGAGGGTTAATGTTACCGTAACAGTCATTATAGAACTATGATTCAGGATACTGGACTTTTCTGTCTTTGTCACTCATCTGCAAGGCTCTGGTTGAGTAACTTCCTTCTCCAGGGCTCATTTTTTCTCAATTACAGTGAGGATACTGAACCATATCAGGGAGCCATTATTATTCATATATCAAATGCACTACATGGTCAGTAACAGCCAGGAGTACTCTGCTAAGACTGGCTGGGCACAATGGGAAGGAATGTTAGATTGATGAGCAAAGGCTGCCCTGGTTTCAGAGTGAAGAGAGCTGCAACAGTGCCACTTACTGCCTCCCTGAGTTATGTAAAACCAAAGGGAAGATCTAGCTTAGATGAGCTACTCTTTTTGCACCAGTCTGGGCAAAGGTCATGCTCAGGAAGCTGACAGCAGAGAAAGGCACAGTCTGAATTAATTCAGTAGGTGAGTGCACTCAGGAGCACAATGCCCAGGTTAGCACAGGTGGCAACTCTGAAGGGACAGCCATTTTATCAAAGCAAAAGACTCAGGGTCATGCACTCCAAACTTGAACCCTGCTGACCATGAAATATACTCCTTAAATCCTAAAAGGGTGCTAATAAAGAAATCTGCCTATTCATAAGGGGCTGTGGGGAATCCCCAAAACTTGTAAATTGTATTAGACAAAAACGAAATATATGGAACCACTCCAAAGAAAGTAGATAATGGGTTAAAAATAAACCAGGGCGCTTTCCTGCCCCGTGCAATGTCTAAGGCCAAGGTATAGGTTGAGCATTCCTAATCTGAAAATCTGAGTTCCAAAATGCTCCAGAATAGGAAATTTTTTGAGTGCCAACATGATTCTCAAAAAGGTTTCGGATCCAGATTTTTCTGATTAGAAATACTAAAATAAAGCCTATGCAAAGATTCTAAAACCGGGAAACTTTGAATTTTGAAACAATTCTGATACCAGTCATTTTGAATAAGGTATGTTCAACTTGTATTACCCCTGACCAGAGTGTGAGGAGCAGGTCTGTTCAACAAGTGCTGGAACCTTACTCACCTGCCCTCTTCACTCCACACTGTCAGCCTGTGTTACTTGGGGCCGAGGTAGGAAACAGCCTTTCCCGTTTTATTCAGCGTTGCCAGCAGAGTGTCCATGCTGTGCTCAGATTCAATGCAAACCTTCTTGTTTGGCAGATCAATGTTAAAATCAACCCCTGCAGGAAGAGGAAACGAGTGTGGGGAAAGTAAGACACTCCCAGTTACAGCAAGAAAGAGTTTAGGTTCCTGAATTATTACTCAAGACCAGGGACAGGCAAACCTTTACTGTACAGGGGCAGAGATATAAATGTTTTAGGTATTGTGGGCCACATGTAGACTTACATATTCTTGTCTGTGTACTTGACTATACTTTAAAAACTTAATAACATTCTCCACTGCAAAACAGGAAGGGGGATAGATTTGAGCCACAGTCTGTACTTTTCAATCCCTGCTCTAGACAAGGGCTTAAGACTTTTTTTAAAATAAAAAATGTAAATATAGATATTTTATTTAGTTAGTTATTCCTTCTTTCTTTCTTTCCTTTTTCCCATTTTTGGGAGTACCAGGGGCACCTTACCACTGAATTACAAGCCTTGCTCTTTTTATCTTATTTTTATTTTGAAACAGGGTATCACTAAGTTGCTAAGGCTGGCTTTAAATTTATGATCCTCTTGCCTCAGCTTCCTGAGCTGCTGGGATTACAGGCATGCACCACTGCACCTGGCTTCATTCTAATTTTTTTTATCATTTTTTTGTGTGTGTATGTGCTGGGCATCGAACCCAGAGCCTTGTACATGCAAGGCAAGCACTCTACCAACTGAGTTATATCCCCAGACCTTTAATTAATTGCTTAAAATATGGTGCTGGAGGCTGGTATGGTGGCGCACACCTGTAATTCCAGCAGCTCGGGAGGCTGAGGTGAGAGGATTTTGAGTTCAAAGCCAGCCTCAGCAACAATGAGGCACTAGGCAACTCAGTGAGACCCTCTCTCTAAATAAAATACAAAATAGGGGTGGGGATGTGGTTCAGTGGTAGAGCACCCCAAGTTCAATCCCTGGTACCAAAAAAATGTGGTGCTGGGAATTCAAACCTAAGGCCTTGAGCATGCTAAGTATGTACTCTACCACTGAGCTATACCCCCAGTTCCTCATTCTTCTTTTTTTCTTTTTAAAACAGCTACACAGTCTTTCCATAGTGTGGACATTACCTGGACTGTGAACTTACCTGGACTGTGATTTAATTAATCTATTGAACTTTGAACTTACCTGGACTGTGATTTAATTAATCTATTGAGTTTGAACTTACCTGGACTGTGATTTACCTGGACTATGTGTCACTTATATGCATTGTGAACTATCTGTTGATGCAACGAATTGTGGCAGTACCAGGGTATCTTTGCTGATGGTGTCATCTGTGATACAATTTTTCCAAGGGCTTCTTACTTGAAGCAATCAATTGGCTTGGTGGCATTTTGTATCCTCCCCTTCTGCTTGTAGCAGATTATGGTGTTTGTGTAAAAACCACTATGGTCGTTATCCCCAAGTGTGGTTGAGTATGTTGGGCCGGTAGTCAAAGATGGGTAAGATCCAATTACAATGGTACCAACCTAAGACAGGAGGCTGACGATTTGAGGTCAGACCATCCAATGACAGGTAAGGACCATATGTAGTATTGGACAACCTAAAACAGGCATGGTCCCTGAGCCACATACTTGTTATTTAAATTAAACAAAAGGGCGAGTTCCATAATACAGCAGGGACACCCAGGCCCCAGGGAGAAGAGCTAATAGTCATGTGGCAAATCCCCAGCCAGGTTCTTTTCACTGTTTTGGATTTTTTCAGATTAGGATCCCAGGTTACAGAGCTTGAAGCCAGCCACTAACTTGCTCTGGGACCTCTGGACTTCCCCTCCTGACACTGGTATCAACACCCCCATTCCACTGAGGGAAAGTACAACTCAGAGGACTGCTAATGAGATCACATCCACGTGGAGGCAACTGGAAAACTGACTATTATCATTATTTATGGTTTTAAAAAATAAAATTCTAGCCTGGCACTGTGGTATACACTTATAATTTCAGCTACTGAGAGGCTAAGGTAAGAGAATTGCAAGCTCAAGGCCAGCTTTGGCAACATAGTGAGATCCTATCTCAAAAAAGGAAGAAGGGGGTTGGAGATACAGCTCAGTGGTAGAGCAGCCCTGGTTCAATTCCTAGTACTGCAAAATAGATAAATAACTCAACAAATTAATTAATTAAGATGAAAAAAGAAAATCTTAGAAGACTGGCTGAGCCCGAGATTACCAGAACTCTGATGGCAACTTGGTCACTGCCTCATTGAACCTTAGGGCCAGCTCTCAACCTTCTTTGGACCTCAGTTTCCCCAGCTGTGAAGTGGGGTGCTAAAGGAGAATAATGATTTTCTAAGCATGTTCAAAGGAGATTCATTAAGAGTTCTATACATGACAGGTTCAAAATTAATTTCTAAACTTGTTACCTTTTAAAAGTGTTAATGGAAAATGACACTGAAATGTGTCATACAGCAAAACCTGTCACAATGGAGATCACCAACATATTAACCAGCAATGCCCTGGGGCTCTAGAGCTGGACTGTGGGGCAAAATCCCAGCTCTGACACTGTCTCTGATTCCAGCCAAGTTACTGAGCTTCTCTGAACTTCAGTTCCCTCCTACTTCAAATGGAGACAATCAAAAAAATTACAGGAAATGGCTGTAGAAAGGATTCAATGATGAGATCCACAGAAGCTATTAAGTGAAGTACTCAGTAAATGAGAAGTACCCAATATATTTTGTTTTACTGTTATCATCAGCTTAAACTAAAGCCTCTCCTGCTCCATCAGTGTGCATCCAAACATGACCTCAGTTGTGTCCCTCCATCCCACCCTCAACTCACGGCGACTCACTCACCGCCCAGCTTGTTGAGGACTCGGGAGACAGCTTCAGCGCATCCTCCACAGGTCATGTCCACAGAGAACTCGTGCTTCTGAAACAAAGGGAGACAATGAGTCAAGCCCTGCAGGGACCTACACTCTGTAACAGCAGGCAGGCTTCTCAGGGCCCAACAGAGTGCAGAGGTTGGGCAAGGCCTGGGTGGTATGGGGCTCCTTAGGAGCCTGTTTCTGAGGCCCAGTCTCTCCAACTGTAAAGTGGAATAAGGGTTTCTACACGTCACAGGTTGTACTAAATGAAATATTCTCCATAAATCCTCTAGCAGGGTCTGGTACACATGAATAGGATCACCTGGAAAGCTAGTTTTTAAAAAAAAATTTTTTTTTCACAGTTCTACCTTCAATTAATTAGCTGTGGACTTTGTTTCAGATCATCAAGAACTCTGGCATGGATGTGCCCCAGTACTCAGTAATGGGCCCATTTATGCCACAGAAAATTGTTTTCTGTATTTGAATCAACTGGGAGTTTACAAGTACCACAGGTTCTAATCAGAAGGCCTGGGCTGGGACATCTGTTATGTCTACTGAGCATTCCAGGGGATACTGATAGGTGGTGATCAATGTCAAAAGGCAGGTTCTCAGGAGATAGGGGTTTTGTTCACACTGTTGCAATCACAATACCTGAAACAGTACCTGGCCCAGGGCAGGTGCTTAATGCATTTTGTTGAGTAAATGGATGACTGACATGGCTGAGGGACAACTTCTGGGTCCTTTGCTTTCAGATAAGGATTATTTATACCAACACTTACTTATTTTAAAATCTCTAGAAATGAGAACATCTGGAATCAGACAGTTCTGGCTTCAGATACTAGCTTTGACACTTCTAGTTCTATGGCCAGAAGTAAGTTACCTAACTCCTCTATGGCTTGGTTTCCAAACACAGATAACAGTTCTCTCCAGGTAAGTGCATGGGATGAACAGAGGATTTTAATCATGGTAGCTAACATCCAAAATGGCCTCAATCTTCTCTGTCTCCTGGTATTTATCCCCTTGAGCAGTCTCATTTCACAATATCTTGGGTTGGGGGCTGGGGATGTGGCTCAAGTGGTAGCGCGCTCGCCTGGCATGCGTGCGGCCCGGGTTCGATCCTCAGCACCACATACCAACAAAGATGTTGTGTCCACGGAGAACTGAAAAATAAATATTAAAATTCTCTCTCTCAAAAAAAAAAAAAAAAAAAAAAACAATATCTTGGGTTGGACTGTGTGTCAAATAGAATATGGCTGAAGCAATATTAAATGACTTCTGAGCCTATCACAATGTCATAAAAAGACACTGTAGCTTCTGCCCTGATGTTTCTGGGATTGCTCATTCTAGAAAAAGCTAGTTGTCACATTATAAGGGCACTCAAGTAAATAGAGGTCTACAAGGTGAGAAACTGAATCCTCTAGCTACAAAGTGAGTGCATCATCCTGGAAGTAGATTCTTCAGCACCATTCAAGCCTTCAGATGACTGCTGCCTCAGACAACATCTTCAATGCACTTTCATGAGAGACCTTGCACTTGAACCTAAGCTGCTCCCAGATTCCTGACTCTTAAAACCACATAACTACCCAAAACGTGTTTGGGGATAAATAAAAAAGAGCAGTAGATAACTAATCCATTAGTAATCTAGAGATTAGAGCCCAGTACTGGGTTCCTTTATGTAAAAAAAAAAAAGTTAATTATTAAATTATTATAAATAATTCCTTCCATTTCTCTCTTCTCTTTCCCTTCAAAAAACATCATCTAGGTTGGTCACGGTGGCGTGTGCCTATAATCCCAGTGGCTCAGGAGACTGAGGCAGGAAGATCTAAAGTTTAAAGCCAGCCTCAGCAATTTAGTGAGGTCCTAAGCAACTTAGCAAGTCCCTGACTCAGAAAAAAAAATAAAAAACAGGCTGGGGATGTGCCTCAATGGTTAAGTGCCCCTGGGTTCAATCTCCAGCACCAAAATAAAACAATGTCTAGGGTTGGGATGTAGCTCAGTGGTAAAACACTTACATAGCATACTCAAGGCCCTGGGTTGGATCTCCAGCTTAGCAAACAAATAAACAAAACCAACGTTTACCTTTTTCATGACGCAAATCAAAATATTTCAAATCTACTACAGGTCAAGTATCTGAAATGCTTGGGACCCGAGTGTTTTAGATTTCTGATTTTTTCAGATTCTGGAATATTTGCATTCATATAATGAGATATCTTGGGGATGAACACAAGTCTAAACACAAAATCTATTTACATGTCATTATATCTTGTACACATAGGCTGAAGATAATCTTATGCAATATTTTTAGACTGTGTTTTGACTGTGACCTATCACATAAACTCAGGTGTGGAATTTTCCACTTGTGGCATCATATTATCACTCAAAAATTTTGGGTTTTGGAGTATTTTGGACTTCAGATTTTCTGACAAGGTTTGCTCAACTTGGTTTTTTGGTTGTTTTGTTTTGTTTTGGTATTGGGGGTTGAACCTAGGAGTGCTTTACCACTCAGTTACATCCCCAGCTCTTTTAATTTTTCATTATGAGACAGGGTCTCACTAAATTGTTTAGGGCCACATTAAGTAGCTAAAGCTGGCCTCAAACTTGCAATCCTTGTATCCCAGCCTTCAGAGTCACTAGGATTACATGCATGGGCCACCACACCTGTGGGAATGATCAATTTGTAACTCAACTGGAATTCTGAATATAGCAATATATCCTGCAATCCCTGCCCCACATGGCTCCAGTTTTCTTTTCTATACCAAAAGGGTATTAGCCAACTCAATTTTCTCAACTTCAATGTAATGCCTCAACTGGCTGGGTGGATCTGGGGTGCGACTCTCCATTATTAACCTTCTGGGGATAGACATGGAGGCAAAACTCCCCACCTGAGGAAAATGGAAAAGTCTCTAAACATATTTGCATCTAGATCATCCTCACGCTCTACAGAGGATACTGACTCCAAGAGTTAAGCAGCTTGATTTTCCAGAACTGGATTCTTTCACCTTCATGACCAGTACACCACTACCCCTTACTGAGGCCAAAGCTATGGAACCTACTTTAAAGAAAATGGTCAGTTTTTCTCTTCTTCTAGTTAAACATATTCTGATTCCTTCAGTTTGTTTCACGACTATTCAACAACAAGTTCTGGAAAGGTTATAATGGATATTCCAAAATCTTATGTTTAAAGTATGGTCCTCAGACCAACAGCATCAGCATCATCTGAAAGCTTGTCAGAAATGCAGACTCTTATGTCCCACACCAGACATCCTAAATCAAAGTCCTCATTTTAATAAGACACCCAGGTCACTATCTATATTACAGTCTGAATGATGCTCAAGAACATGGATAGGCATCAAATCACAGCCTGCTTGTGATTTGATTTTACAAATAAAAGTTTTTGTGGAACATAGCCAAACTTGTTTGTTTAGTTTTGCACTAAAACAACAGAGTTCAGTCATTGTAACAGAGATCATATTGTTTGTAAAGCCTAAAGTACATACTAGCTAGCCCTTTAAGAAAAAGTTTGCTGAGTCTTGATCCAGTATAATCAAGAGAATCAAAAATCATCTGTGGTTTGCAGCTGTATACTGAGCTCAAGCTTTTAAGAATTTCCAAGATTAACATAAGAGCTAAACCTCTTGAATGCCTACTATATGTCAATTCTTTATACAGTATCTTTCTAGCCTGAAAGGGAGCTATTCAAATAATTTTACTCAAGAGGAAAGTGAAGTTTCCAAGGTTTCACTAAGGTGCCCAGTCTTGGGTAAATAAACATTGAGGTCAGGATATGAACCCAGGGAAATTGTGTTGGTTCTAGAAAAGCAAAGTGCATCGCCATCCACCTCAAATCTCTAAAATGGGAACACATTGTTAAAAAGCACAATTTTCTGTTGCCCTATGATCTAAAGTCACCAGATATCTGAAGCTTTCTGCTGCTGACCACAGGAAGCAGGTTTCCTTTCAAAGGTCAAAAAGCAAAGGTCAGAAGCCACAGGAGGTGGCTTTTGGCTTGCTTCTGGATAGCAAGCATTACAATTCAGTGCACTACTGTTCCACCCTTGAATTGCAAAACTAAATTTGAGGGTAACAGAAAGACAGCTTAATGGATAAAGAAATCCATTCTTTTTTTTTTTTTTGCACCAGAGATTGAACTCAGGGGCACTTGACCACTGAGCCACATCCCCATCCCTGTTTTGTATTTTTATTTAGAGATAGGGACTCACTGAGTTAATTAGTGCCTCACTTTTGCTGAGGCTAGCTTTGAACTCTTGATCCTCCAGACTCAGCCTCCAAACCACTGAGATTACAGGAGTGCATCACCACGCCTGGCAAATAATCCATTCTTTATAGGAAAATGTCAAGGACCCACTACACCAACAGATGCTTGACTCTGGGCAGTTCCAACTTTTCAGGGGCTTTTGCTTTGTCACTTACAAAACAGGTCCTTTAAAAAGTAAATAAATTCTCTAGGCACAGTGTGCATGTCTATAATATCAGCAGTTTGGGAGGCTGAGGCAGGAGGATTGCAAGTTCAAAGCCAGCCTCAGCAATTTAGCTAGGCCCTTAGCTACTTAGTGAGACTTTGTCTCAAAATTAAAAAATGGCTGGGGATGTGCCTCAGTGGTTATGTGCCCCTGGGTTCAATACTTGATACCAAAAAATAAATAAAAATAAAAAATAAGTAAATTTAGTCAAGCATTGTGGCATGTACATGTCTCTAATCCCAGTGACTCAGGAGGCTGATGCAGACAGAGGATCACAAGTTCAAAGCCAGTTTAGTAAGACCTTGTCTCTAAAATTAAAAAAAAAAAAAAAAAGACTTTAAAAAAGTCTGAGATCACCAGGCATGGTGGCACATGCCTATAATTCCAGTGGCTCTGGAGGCTGAGAGAGGAGAATCGTAAGTTCAAAGCCAGCCTCAGCAAAAGCGAGGTGCTAAGCAACTCGGTGAGACCCTGTCTAAATAAAATTCAAAATAGGGCTGGTGATGTTGCTCAGTGGTTGAGTGCCCCTGAGTTCAATCCCCAATACCCACCACAAAAAAGGCTGGGGATGCATTTCAGTGGCCTGGGTTCAATTCCCAATACCAAACAAACAAGAAAAACTGACCTTATTGGACTACTGTTAGTATTAACTGGAAAACACAAATAAAATAAATAGCATAGTCAATGACATCTAATATACAAGAAAAAGTAATTTTTTTTGTGTGTGTGTGGTGGAATTAAACCCAGGGTACTCCACCACTAAGCTGCAACACCAGCCCTTTTTTTAGTTTTTTCAAGATAGGGTCTCCCTAAATTGCCCAAGCTGATCTTGAACTTGCCATCCTTCTTCCTCAGCCTCCCAAGTTGTTGGGATTAAATGCATGTGCCACCAAGCCCGGCATAACAACTCTTACTTAGGTCCAGGACAAGTTGGGTAGAACTGTAGATAGGCAGATTTCACCCCCATTTAAAATGGGTCTTGGGCTGGGGATGTGGCTCAAGCAGTAGCTTGCCTGGCATGCACGGGGTGCTGGGTTCGAACCTCAGCACTACATAAAAATATAATAAAGATGTGTGTCCATCGAAAACTGAAAAATAAATATTAAAAAAAATTCTCTCTCTTAAAATAAATAAATAAAAATAAAAATAAAATGGGTCTCAGCATTTAGGAGCTGACTTTTGGATACTGACCAGTCCAGGCCTAAGCTCAACCTCAGTTTTCTGAGCTTTAAGAAGAGATAATAGTAGTACCTGCCTTGAGGGACTATTGTGAGGAATAAACAAGGTCATGCATGTAAAGTATTCAGAACAATGCCTGGCGTATAGTGGGCACTCAAATATTAGTATACCCAACCACCAGGGTTTTCAAGGACAAAATGTCCTAAATATGTGAAAAAGATTCCTTTTCTAGGAGGGGACTTCCAGTTCTGAGAGTCCATTAAAGGATTCCACAACTTACTTTTTGTTTTTTTGCACCAAGGATTAAACTCAAGACATGAGCTACGTTCCCCTGGTCCTTTTTTTATTTTGAGACCGGATCTTGCTAAGTTGTTGAGGGTCTTGTTAAATTAGTAAAGCTGGCCTTGAACTTACAACCCTCCTGCCTCAGACTTCCAAAACACTGGGATTATTGGGGTATACCACCAAACCCAGTTGTGAAGTCAGTTTAACCCCTATTTTACAAATGAAAAAATCAAGGCATAGAAAGAGGAAGCAACTTGCTTAAGATCACTCAGTGGCAAGCCAGGGCACAGATTTTCTAAGCCCCGTGCTATCAACTTTTGCTAAGAACCCTCTCAGGTATCACATCATCCTTGACTAATACCCTCCTTCCTTCAGTTGTTCATCTTGGAATATGGTGCCAAGTGCCCTCCTCAGTCCAACCATCTGCTCAAAATCCCCAGAAGTGGAAACAAAATACAGTTTTCCTCAACCCACCTTTCCCTCACTGGTAGCCTCCACAAAAACCCTGGGGCCTCTGCTCTTTCAGTTCATGGGTGATTAAGGCTCTCCTCTAACTCGGCCACAGAAGGACTTGCCAAACTGGTAAGGCTCATTCTATCAGGTTCTTTGTCCATACTTTGTGTAAATTTTGTGAGGATTTGTCTCAAGGTAACTGGGAACACCAAATGATACCTGATATGTTTAAGACTTTGCTCAGCAACCTCAGGCTCACCTGTGAACTCTCAAAAGATAGGCTGCTAAGACACGGGACAAAACTGTGGGATATCTCTGGGTACCTTTGTGTCACAGACTTATGAACTAAGCACCCTGGAGGAAATTGCTAAACACTTCATTACTCCAACCAGCATCTCAAGAATGTAGCTGGGATCCAAGCCGGTATGACAGCTTTTGCCCAGCATTTCCCAGGCGGTGTGATATGGCCAGGAGAGGAGGGGAACCTGAGATAAGGGGCTTAAAGCATGGTTCTACCTAACTCCTGCCAGGAGCTTAAACAAATTACTGGGCTTTTTTTTTTTTTTTTTTTTTGTAAAAAACATTTAGTGTTACCCTGTTCATTTAATGACCTGGAAGTAGGCCGGAAAGGGCAGGGGAAGAGAAGAAAAACATGAACCTCTGAAAAACACTGCTGTCCAGGAGGAAACAGCCGGAGCCACCCATTTGCTCAGCGCCACCCCACCGCTCTATCGGTTCAGCTCCAATAGCAAGGGATCCCCAGGGGGAAGGCGCAGGAACTAGGTCCCCGTTCCGGCTCCCTGCCCACTCTCCGGGTCTGTTTCCCCACATATGCAGGGAAGGTTTGGGCTGGTAAGTCCTGGAGTCTTCGCGAAGCCTGGCTTCTAAACTTCCTTCGGATCCTATTTTCTGGAGGGTTGCAAAAGCCAAAGGGTGAGTGGGGAGGGGTAAGCAGTGGGACAATAGTAGCTCCGGTCTCGGATTGAGTCCCTTTAAAGTAACATCTGGTCAAGTGGCGGGGCACCGAGGCGCAGGCCGAGGACCGCGGAAGGTGCGCGGCCACTTACCGGCATGACTGAATCAGCAGCGACTGCGTCCGAGGTGGCGGCGGCGGTGGCTGCGGCGGGAGCGGCGACAAAGGCAACGCCTCTCCGGGACTGGAGGGCGGGCTCGGCTTCGCTTCCGGGAGTGCGCGCGGGGAGACCCCACCCCTCGGGGGTCCGGCCATCGGCTAGGCCCCGCCCCTGGGCTGGCCTCGGTTTAGACCCCTCCCTTCCCCGGCCCGACGGCGGGGTAGGCTCCGCCTCCTGGGCTGGGCTCGGGCTAAACCACGCCCCTCCGGCCTGGAGGCCTGGGAGAGGCCGGCAGTCAGCCTGCGGTGCCGCCTCTTCCGGCGAGCGAGGATCTTGGGCCACCTGCCACGTTCGGAAAAAAAAAGGGGTGAGACTGACACAGCGCTAGCCTCCATCTATTGTTGGCATTTTTAGGTCGCCTACTTCATATATGCTTGTGTTAGGGAACACAAAGCAAGGACACTGCAGGGAATAAGACAGATACGTGCTGAGAGCCGGCCAGAGGCCAGCACTGTGCCAGCCATCATCCTAGATGCAGTGATGGTAAAGACCTAGCCTAGCAGGCCGAGATGATAATGCAGTGTTAAAGGATCTGTGTCCTAGCTGAAGGGAAAGGGTCCTTAATTCAGAAAGAGCTGGGTGGGGGATGTTCTTAAAGAAGGGAGGCTCTGGAAGAAGGTAATACTGAGCAAAGATGGGCAAATTGGGAGGGAGAGAGGCAAAGGCAGAACAGTATGTACAAAAGCAGGAGGATAAGAATGTACAGGCAGAGATAAAGACTAAGGCAAGTATGCTCAGAAAGATGAAGAAATGCAGTAACAGACATGAGGTGGACTTCCATGAGGTAGAGGTGCTTTAGGGCACTTACAGAGAAATAAGCCGGCCTGGAACTCCAAACACACAAACACATCTAGGCACAGCAGTAGGGTCATTTTGTCCTTTGATATTCCCTGCCAGAGGTTCAGTCTAAGTAGTTTTTTTAAAAAAGATCTCTCTTCTACAGAACTGTTTGGAGAGTTTATTAAAAACTCAGAGACACCTGCAGGGCACGGTGGTGCTTGCCTGCAATCCCAGTGACTTGGGAAACTGAGGCAGGAGGATGGCAAGTTAAAGGCCAGCCTCAGCAATTTAGTGAGGCCCTAAGCAACTTAGCAAGACCCTGTCTCAAAATTAAAAATTAAAAAGGACTGGAGATGCAGTTCAGTGTTTAAATGTCCCTGGGTTTTATCCCCAGTACCAAAACAAAAAAAATAAAAAATAAAAACTCAGACACCTCACCCTCATCCTAGATACACTACCCTCTAATTTCAAGATGCACTGTTTTTCAGTCCCCTTCCTTGCTGTGGTCTGGGAAATCTGGCTGAGGAAAACTATAGTGTTTTTTTTTAATTTACTTTTTTTTTTTTTATTTTTTGCCATGCTGGGGATTGAACCCAGGGCCTGATACATGGTAGGCAAGCACTCTATCACTGAGCTACATCCTCAGCTGTAATAGCCCTAATACCTTTTGAGAAAATGTACTGGTTATTGATTTGTTTCTCAGCTCCCATTCATCCTTTTTGCTTACTCTAAAAATGGATCTAAACTCTCTAAAAAAATTTATCCCTTTGCCTGCTGGGAGGATATCAAGCTGTTTCAGTAAGTCTCTGGTCACCTACTTCATATATGCTTGTGTTAGGGAATACAAAGCAAGGATACTGCAGTGAATAAGACAGATACGTACTGAGAGAGACACTGAAGGAAGATTTTCCTCTGTGGTTTCCCCATACCAGACCTCTGAGGACAGCCTCTCCTGTGTACACGGACTAATGGTACCTGGCAGCAGGTAGCTTCCCCAGTACCCCCTGTTATGTGTTTGTATAGCACAGTGCTTCCAGAGAGAGCCTCTCTGCAAAGAGCTTTCTCCAGCATCCTGGAGGATAGTTTTCCAGCCTAGAAGGCGATTTTCTAGCAATTTCCACCAGAACAGTACCACAGTCACTTCCCTGCCATTGAGTGGGCCACAGCTATGCCCTCTCCACCGGGGTCTGGATTTCAGAGTGTAGAGTGTGTAGGGGGCACTCTTCCTTAGATGGTCTATCTTAACTGGGCCATGGCAGCTCCTTACATCTGCTATTTTTTTAATATTCTTTAGAGCTTTCCTTCCTCTTATTAGCCAACCTGTTATTACTATAGTCCCATTATAATCTTTAAACTTCCCTTGTCCAAATTACAAAGTGGTTTCTGATTAACTCTGATACAGAGAAATACAACAAGTTGCTTACTTCAAAGAAGAGGTTAACAGATCTACTCTTGGCCTAAATCCAAGGAACATAAATGAAAGATAAGTCTAAGCCAGCCCTCATCACTGGCTTGCACTGGCCCTGGGTGAGGAAGCCAGCTGTAGCACGCTGAGTGAAAGGCAGGATGTTGGAGCCTGTCTTCATCTGCTAGGGCTTCGAGTACAAAATACCACAGATTAGGTGGTAGTTATTGTGAGAATTTTCTTTTCTCACAATAACAATTCTAAAGGCTAAGAAGTTCAAGATAAAGGTACCAGCCCATCTGGTTGCTGGTGGTGGTCTCTTTTCCTGACTTGCAGTCACCTTCTGCACACAGCAGAGAGTGAGAGTTCTGGTGACTCTTCCTTTCCTATACATAGGGCACCATCCCTGTCAGTTTAGGGCCTTCATATTGTGACTTCATATTACTACCTCACTGTTATCACCTCTTCACAGGTCCTGTCTCTTCATAAAGTCCCATTGAGGGTTAAGGCTTACGAATTTTGGAAAGCACACAGAGCAGAATCTTACAGACCAGGGTTTGAATCTCAGCCCTATCATTTACTAGTTGTATGACCTTAGGCAGAGTAATTTACTTCTCTAAGCCTAAATATCCTCATTTATAAAATGGAGATAGTTAGGATGATTATACAATTTTTGATCTAAACCTTCTGAGACAGAAAATTTTGCCAGGCATATATCATGATCTATTCAGGCAAACCAAGGGTACATTGTTCTATCAAAGAAACCTCTTTGCAGTACTATTGGAATAAATGTGTGCAAACCACTTAGCACAATGCTTGCACATGGAAGGCACCAAAAAAATCTAAGAATTCTCCTAAGTGCTAGGCCCACCTTGCTGGTACTGGGTTTGCTTTCACTGACAAAATACCCCTTGATCCTCTACTCACTCTCTGCCTGCCAGAAATTCCTAAAGCTGGAAGGAAGGGAGGGAGGAGAGAGGAAGGGAAAAGGGGAAGGTGGGGAGCAATGATGCTGGCAATCTTAGGTCCAGCAAAGGCAAGTGGATGGTCTTAGCAGACTGCACTGGGGTTGGGGATAGCAAGATTGCAGCGAGCCAGAGAAAGGAAATCCAGCTCAAAGGCTGTAGTGCACCAGGAAAGCAACCCAAGTTAGAGTGTATGGCTTAGAGAACTGAGAAGGCGGAAGTTAAGCAGAGAGAAGGAAAGAGCAATTTAATGAGAACACAGCATTATGGAGATGACAGGTGAAGATGTATTAAAGAAGAGGATGTATAGGATTATAGTTCCTCTGTGAACATATACATAAATTCTATCTATTTACCCCCCAATTTAAAGTAATCTACAGCTGTTACTAGAACTTATCTTGAACTGAGTGCAGGATTACAGGCAGGATTCCAATGTACACAGTTTAAAATTTTTCAAATAGCACAAGATGGTATAAGGTAAAAATAAGTTTTCCTTTTACTCTACCCTTACCTCCACCACTGAGCCACATTTCGGCTCTCCCCATCTGAAACAAAAGGCCTGCTAAATACATGCAATGTACTTTAACCCTGTTTTCTCAATCTTAGAAATTGTACTTAGTAATACACATGGATCCCTCTCATTCTTTTTTTGTTTTTAATATTTTTCTAGTTATAGATGGACACATTATATTTTTATGTGGTGCTGAGGATCGAACTCAGTGCCTGACACATGCAAGGCAAGCGCTCTACCTCTGAGGCACAGCCACAGTCCCCTCTCATTCTTTTTAATGCCATGAATGTCCTATTATTCAGTTGTACCATAATTTGTCTCATCAGTCCCTATGGTAGAAATCATCGGTTGACAAATTCAATATCCATTTCCAATTTCTTTTTTTTTTTCTTTTTTTTTTTTGTGATGCGCTGGATTAAACCCAGGGCTTTGTGCATGGGAGGCAAGTACTCTACCAACTGAGCTTTATGCCCAGCCCCATTTCCAATTTGTTTACTCTTACTGCTAGAGAGGCCGGGATCCCTTAATACTTGCTTTTCCACCCTCCCAGGCAGCCACAGGTGTACCCACATAACATGGCTCTGGACAATGATAAAAAAGAAAAGTTTGCTAGGATGATTCTGGGAAAGCTTTTCTTTTGGTACCAGGGATTAAATCCAGGGGTGGTTAACCACTGAGCCACATCCCCAATCCTGTTTTATTTTGAAACAAGGTCTCGCTAAATGGCTGAGGATGGCTTTGAACTTGCAGTCCTCCTGCCTCAGCCTTCAGTGTCACTGAGATTACAAGTGTATGCCACCATACCCATTCTGGGAAAGCTCTTGCATTCCTCATAAAGGAAACATACACCACTCCTTTGCCTTTCCTGCCTAGAACACTATAATGTGACTGATATGTAGAGTAAAAGGGCACCATTTTGTCACCATGAAGGAAATGCCAGGCGAATCACAGTTGAGTCTGACACTGAACCAATGCCAGCCATAGCTGTTTTCTAGACTTGTTATATGAGAAATGTAAGCCCATCTTTATTCCTACTGCTAGTAATACTTTGTTACTTGCCCCAACTAACAAACATATAGATTGTTTCCAATCATCGAATGCTGTTAATAATGTAATGACAATTCATATATATACGCCTTTGCTTATGGCAGCACATGCCTGTAATCCCAGCAACTAGTGAGGCTGAGACAGGAGGATGGAAAGTTTAAGGCCAACCTTGGCAACTTATCGAGGCCCTTATGCATACAATAAATTTCGAAAAACCCAGTTTGTGGTATTTTGTTATAGCAGGTCATGGATGAAGACACTAGACATAGTTGGGATAGGGAAGATCTCAACAAATCAGTCACCAGTTCCTCAAGCCATCTTCTTAGAAGAGACACATCTACCTTCTACTCACATTTTTCTAGCAAAGCAGGGCACATAGTCATGC